GTGGCGGGCAGGCTCGGTCGCCTCCTCAGGAACCCGCCCATCTGATGCACATGGAGCACCTGCACCCGCCGCTCGCTCAAAAGCAGACGGGGCAGAGCAAGAGGCACAAAAGGGGCGGGTGCTAGGGCCAGACGCCCGAGAATACTACCGGAGTAGCTAGTATTGTAGCACGAATGGTTGAATCGGCGCGTGGCGTCCCTCCCTTTCGCGTGCGCGCTCCCGTGCTTTTGTTTGTGGTCTGCGTATAGCGTTGCTAGGGTCTTCATTGTACCGTCGGTACACGGTTCAACTAGGCAAAACACAGCCGGCTATTAGGGTGGCTAGCGGGGAGGGGGGATAGCAGCCTCAACTTCCCGTTCTTTTACGTCCTTCGCGCAGGTTATTGGTGCGTTGGAAAAGAGTACCTGTAGTACATGACCAACGCATGGGACTGCTGTTGTTGCGGTGTTGTTGCACCTTCGCCAGAGCACAATATATTATTTTCTGTGCTCGTTGAATGCTGTCCTTTATCTCTCGATCTGTCCTGCGTTGACCTGTCCTGCGTTGCGAGTGCCTGCATGTTTGTGTTGACCAGGAGTTCAAACGTGGACGGAACTATGCCCGAAGTGTTTTTTGTTTTCGACATGGTGCACACCATGAAGCGTTCTTGCCACCACGGCTCTGCTTTGTGTTCACCGGGAGCCCGGGAGTCAACGCGGTCGTCGTGGAATTACGAGGACCACAGCAGTGTGCTTTTTTTTCATGTAGTGCACACCGCAACGGCGCACTACGCCTCTCCATAATAAGGACAGCGGCCGTCTCTAACTTTGGTTCAACCTTGTTCTTTTCCCTTCAACCCCAAAAACCAAACGAAGGAAGCTAATGAGGGCTGCGGTGTTGCGCTATAACGAAATGCCGAACACTAAAACAGTATACAAGCGAGGAAAACAAACACAAAAACACTTGGTACAGATCACTTTTTCTTTTGTGTGTGTCGTGGCCTTCGTGCGTGGTAGCTAGCCTCGGCTGGATGGGGTCGTAGTAGCAGCAGTAGTTTTGTTGCAGCAGAAAGACTTGACGCGTGTAACGCACGTCGTACTTAAAAAGTTCGAAGTGCTGCTCTCCTGAAGATGGGGCAGAGCAGTGTAACAACAACCGCAGTTGTACAAGCACATGAACAGAACTAATCTACACGTACGTCCAGATAGATCAGGACCACACCAAATGGTTAGCTGGGCACAGGTTGCAGCAACGGCGGTCAGAGGAAGCGTCCCACGTCTCTGTGCTGCTGTTGTGCTGGTTCTCGCTTTCAAAAAAAAGGTTCTGTAGTATGAGTTCTGGAGGCGTTTTCGTCGCTGGAGCACGAGTCTCTGTCGCCAGTGCTGGAGTACGCACGCCGCCTGGTGCCACCACCGCGTAACTTTGATATGCCACAACACCTTCGGCGTTAAGTCATGCCACGGATGTTGGCTCGTGTCCGCAACACACCATGTATGATCGCTCGAGGAAACGATTGAAGGTTTCTATCGTCGTTACCTATCACAACGGTGTGCCTAGTTCCTTTGCTAGTTGGTATGGCATCCTAGAGCCACTTACTTCGAAGTCTTCTTGGAGACGATTCCTTCACGGAAAAAAAAAAAATCCGCCCTTGTCGCAGCAAGGAAGACTATTTTTAGCTCACCCTGGACAATATGCAATACTACACTCAATGCATATCGATACGTTCCTATCGTAATACGTCACGTACTGGTGGCTGTAATACGCGTTGATATGTTTTCTTGCGAGGGTGGCGTTCTGGGAATATGCACCGATTGGCAGTTCGTGAATCCTCTGGCTCAATAAATATCTGTCTGTGGGTAGACCCGGTGCGTAACCACTGTCGCTCCCCCAATGTGTACTGATTTTAGAATAGGGCCATTATTATGTAGGATTTACTATGGGATGCATAATATATTGCATTTAGAGCAGTGGTGGCCATTTGCGGGGCTGTACCATTCCCCCCATTGATTGCCCTGACCATTATTATTTTGTTTGCCCTCCGACAATTGATTGCAGATAAATGCAGGCGTACATAAAAAGCCGATCGTAAAGGCCGTCATGCCAAGCCAAATTAACTCGATGCCCAATAGCTAGGAATGTTTGCCTCTAAGGCAACAAAACTTTGGTTGAAACACTACAGCTGAACTCTAGGCACGAACCTTGGATGGAGAAAGCGAACAAAACCCCAACCTCATCCACCCGAAATCAAACAAAACTCGGCCCCGTCTTCCCTGGTACCCCTGACACCGTATCGAACAGAAATTCGCTTTCCACCGAAGTGGTTAGGTTAAAGCTGTCGCACGCATATTTCGGCGCGCAAAAGACTGTGCGGCATTGCTTGCCACCGGTCACACCAAGAAGAGAGAAACACCCCCCGTCTTGCTCTCTCTGAGGCACCCCCCATTCAAGCCCATGTTCCCCCGGACCCCCGACACTGCCCCCCCCTGTTCCTACTTCCTCGCCACCTTCAACCACAAGGGCCAAGCCCTCCCCCCTCAGCACTCCCGACACCGTATCGAACAGAAATCCGCTTTCCACCGAAGTGGTTAGGTTAAAGCTGTCGCACGCATATTTCGGCGCGCAAAAGACTGTGCGGCATTGCTTGCCACCGGTCACACCAAGAAGAGAGAAACACCCCCCGTCTTGCTCTCTCTGAGGCACCCCCCATTCAAGCCCATGTTCCCCCGGACCCCCGACACTGCCACCCCCTGTTCCTACTTCCTTGCCACCTGCAACCACAAGGGCCAAGCCCTCCCCCCTCGGCACTCCCGACACCGTATCGAACAGAGATCCGCTTTCCACCGAAGAACGAAGTGGTTGGGTTAAAGCTTTCGCACGCATATTTCGGCGCGCAAAAGTCTGTGCGGCATTGCTGATCGATACTGCCACCGGTCACACCAAGAGAGAAACATCCGCCGTCTTGCTCTTTCTGAGGCA